AGGCTCACAAGACTTTGAATTCTCTAACTAGCTCCCAATGGCTCAATGCCAGAGGCATTGAGCAATGGCACCTTGCAGAACTGTTGGGAACTTTAAGTATGCCTGACACTTAGTAGGTAGTCAACAAAAAGGTAACTGTGACCATCTCATCCAATTAAATGTCACTGACCCACTGAGGGAACTGAAGTCTGGATGAGAGGAAAAGGAAAGAACCAGTATTTTCCATGTCCCAGTTCTACATTCCTCCACTCTTTCATCTGCCAATAATCTAGCAAGATCCACAGAAACAGACCTGGTTCATAAGTGAGGAAACTGAGGCCTCCAGGAATAGAGTTAGTGGCTGTAAGGTGGGCCTCTGGACTCGCACCCGCGTTGGACAGAGTGGGTGAGCAGTCATCCAGAAGTGGCAGGGATGCCAGCATGGCCCTGCCTGGTGCAGACTATAGTGCCATCTCCCCTAGCCCCTGGCATATGCAAGGTGTGAGGAAGGCAGGCAGCCTGGATCAGCTCATCAGCACACACAAGCAGCAGAGAAGGCTGGGGTCTGAATGTGACAGTGAGGTCACTTTCTGGGCAGCCAAGATGGGGCTGGAATAGGGTCCCAGCCTAGCAAGTAAGGGTTCCAGGTCTCTCTCCAGCCGCAGAAGCCCAGGCACACAAATCCACTTTTCCATGCCTTATATGTACTGGGGAGTTGACTCTATCACCCACCTCCCTACGGTGAGTGGCCGAGGTGGATGGGAAGGCAGCGGGGATCTTCTTGGTACTGGCCATTTCAAAGAGAGGAACCATGATGATGTGTTTACCAGTGACTAAGCTCAGTGTGTGTGGACTGCATATCTTAACACCAAGTCTGGGGAGCAGAAAGTCCCCAAAGATCACACAGTCTGGTGGGCAAGACAATACAACCCACAGTCCTCTGAACCCTAAATCCTGCCTACAGGGCCCAGCCACCTGGCCTACAGTACCCCTCAAGCTTATCTCAGCCCCTTCAGCTGTTGTGCTCTGATTCACTCTGCTCCAAGCCGTCCTGGCCACCTCCAATCAGCAGCTCAGAGGCACCAAGCTCCCCCTAGCTTGGAGCCTACAGATGAATGCTGTTCCCTCTGCCTGGAATGCTCTTCCCATGACTGAATACTTCTCAGCCGCCAGGCCTCTGTTCCGTGCTCATCTCCTAGGAGCTCTCCGCTGACCTGAGTCTCTTATTATTCTCTCACAGTTCTCTGTTCTCCAGCAGAGTTAAATCTTAGTGCCACTTAATCGCTGTGTGACCTTGGGCAAGTTACTTAACCTCTCTGTCTCCATTTCATCTTTAACCTGGGCACCATAACACGATCTACTTCACAGAGTAGCTGCAAGGAATAAATGCATTAATGCATGTTCAGCACATAGGTACCGATTATGTGGCATTTAACTCTGTATTATTACTACTGTTCACAGCACTTAGCACAGATTTTCACTGGGTATTTATTTATTTGACTACCTTTCCACTGTGTCTCCCCCAGCAACAGCCTGGGCTCCTACAGTGTACACGTCACAGTAAGCCAACAACGCGCAGACGTGCACAGATGTTGCAGTTTTTCTGATCTTTTCACACACTATCAGGAGCAATACCTGGGCACAAGGCTTCTCAGGGAAACTGGACTAACAGCCCTATCACCATTTTCACAGCAAAAAATGTTCCTGGGAGTTGACCTGGGTGAGACTAAAACCAGGCGTTGCACAGCCTCCCAGAGGGTGCCAGCAACAACCTCCCTCCCCCACCCCCGCCTCCCCTCACAGGCCAGGAGTGTGGGACTCAGTGCCCAGCACAGACTGATTATTTCGAATGGGGAAGGAGAAAGGTCTCTACTGAGAAAGGCAAGGACTGAGACAGGACAGGGAGACCTTTCAGCAGCCCCAGGCACGTACTCAGCACTTCACTGCCGCCCGCCAGCTTGGCAGCCAACTCATCACCCTCATCACCTCACTCATTCGTTCAGTCACCCACACGTGCCAAGTGCTTGCTGGGTACGAACCCATGAACGGGGGTTACATGAGAGGCCCTTCACATCCCAGCTTAATCTGCTTTGTATCCAGTGAAGAGAGTTTGATAGGGTTTTGGTTTCCTTGCTTTTCATTAAAAACAGCTCTGCCAACAACCCAGAAAACAGGCACAAGCCCTCCAGTATTTCTGAGAAACTAAGGGAATTCAAAAATAAGGGGGGGATTCAAAAATAAGGGGAGCCCAAGATCTGCCAAATGGGCGATGGTCCAATGGAGGCGATCAAGGTCAGAATGCTCTAGCCGGCATGTGGTCACCTCGGTCACCCATGTCCTAGCTGGCACATTGCCTAGCTGTCACCCAGGTCCACTCTGTCACCCAGGGGCCCCCACAGCCACCTCCACTCCTAAAGCATGGGGAAGCAGAATGCCACCCGGGCTAGGAGTGAGGGTATGTGGCAGGAATCCCACTCTGGGGTTCTTATTAAGCCTCAGGTTCTTTAAGAGTTCAAAGACAGGGGCCAGATTGCACAAGTTCAAATCCCAGCTCTGCCACTGCATTCCAGTGCGACCCTAGGCAAGTCTTCAATCTCTCTGAGCCTCAGTTTCCTCATTGATATGATAAATGTGCCTGCTTCACAGAGAACTAAATGAGGTCATATAGGCAAAGAGTTTGCTATGGTGCCCAGGACAGTCATCGCTATACGCTAAGTCCTCTCTTCACGCTGCCAATAGTTTCTTGGAAACTGTGACTTTAAGCAAAACAACAAATATGAAAGCAAATCTGGAATAAGAATTTTAAACAAAAGAATGTTATTTGAGGACTTGCTGTTCAAGGATTTGTTACTGCTGTTATCTCAGTAAAAAGGTGCTAATGCTGGGCTTCCCCTGGTGGCACAGTGGTTGAGCGCTGGGCTGCGAAGGTGCCCGCAGCCTCTGTAGCGCCGGTTCGATCCCTGGCTGCCAGTGAGGGTCCCACACGGCGCAACAGACCTCTCCTGCTGCTCACTGCTCTCCTCAGCAACGTATTTCTTCATCGGTCTGCCTGTTCTGTTCCCCGCTCTGGCTCTGGTGAATTCTCTCACCCTCCTGTGCTTCTGACTATACCCAGTGCTTGTGTAAATAAATAAATAAATAAACCTTTAAAAAAAAAAAAGTGCTAATGCTATATCCCTTCCCTGCTGCCTTCTTTCCAACTGCTGATGAAGATTCATGGGAAAAAAAGATATGAAGGGTAAAAGATGACAGGGCACAAGGTTAGGAACAGAAAGCTCTCTGCCTTGCTCTCAGGGAACAGGAGTAAAAGACCCTGCTGCTCAGATCCTTGGCCTCCCTGGGAAGTTGCCTGTGCCCAGTCATTCATTAGGCATTTCCTGGGGCCTGAGCCAGGCTCAGCCCAGTGCACCAAGAGCAGCCTCCTGCAACTCACAGGCTGGTGGGAGAAATGGACATGCAAGTCCACCAATAATCTGGGGTGAGAAGGGGCTCACTGTGCTGAGGGAAATCTGGGAAGTCTTTCTAGAGGAGGCAGCATCTGAGCTGAGATCTGGGGGCTCAGAATTTTCCAGGGAGATATGTTTGCAGGAGGCAGGGGAAGGCTGGAGGACACTCTAGCCAAAAGTACAGTATGTACAAGAGCATGGAGAACAGAACCAAGGTGGGAACTGAGGCCAGTAGTTCAATATGCCTGCATACTAAACTGCACAGGGGCAGGAAGGTGGAATGAGGAGAGAGAGAGGTGCACAGGGGCCAGGTTACCAAGATCCCATAGTATCAAATAAGGAATGTGAGTGCTGGACTACAGCAGCATCTAACAGCAGCATCTAGAAGCACTCTAACGGAGGGTGACCGGCAGGGGTAGATATGAGAGGAGACTGTGCATTGGGCAGAGGAGGGTACTGAGGTCTGGGCTGGGTGGCAGTATAAACCCAGGGAGGGTTAAACAAGAGATTTCTTTATTTGTCCCTGCCCCTTTTAAAAACGTTCCTCCTGGCCTCCCTGGTGGCGCAGGGGTTAAAGACACAGCACTATCAAGGTACAGCCAGTTATTACAGCACCAGTTCGATCCCCCGGCCTGCCAGGGAGCTGACCCACATGGAACACAGACCTCTCCTATCTCGCCCGCTGTTCCCCTCAGTGGTGTATTTCCGTCGGTGGTATGTCTGTTCTGCTCCCCACTGTGTCTCTGGTGAATCCTCTCACTGCCCCCTCCCCTGCACCTCTGGCCTGCACCCCAGGTCTTATATGCATAAATAAATAAAATAAATCTTAAAAAAAAAAAGCTCCTCCCCCAAACCTTCTGTATACCCAGTACAGCCTCTCCGGATCTATCCTGAACCCTTCTCTTTTCACCAGATCAAAGGCCCCCGCCAGGCACTGCTAAGCACCTGGGTCTGTCTCATGCCTAGCATTTAATCTCAACTCCAAAGTCCCTGTTCTGAGGCTCCAGGGAGGCGTTCTCTGCAAAGTCACCCTGCAGGACATTTTTCAACAGCCCTCACATGGTCCTGCACTTGTTTTCCCAAGAGGATCCCACAAGCGCCCCTAGCTTCATCCTGTCCACGCCCTCACTCACACACACACACCCCTAGCCCTGGAACTTGCAGCAGCTCCATGGCCTTCGAGCCTTGAACTCTGACGTTAAACAACAAAGCCACGGAGCTCAGGCGTCCAGCAGAAACATGCTCAGAACTCCAAGGGGAGAAACACACACCCCCGGTGTAGAATTCCAGACGAAAAGAACTTGCTGAAGATTCCACTCAACATGGCCAGCCCTCGAGGGAGCTAACTAACTGCCCCTGGGGCTTGTTAGGGGATTGTTGTTTATAATAAACCAGCTCAGGAGTTCTGCAATTTCTTCTTCCAAAGACATCGAGAAAATGGTCCATGGAAAATGAGAGAGAAAATGCAGAACTTCTGACTTTAAATGGAAACTTCCGTCCTCTTTTAGGATCCCCAGCCTCTAGTCCCCTCCCTTTTGTCTCCAATCACCCTCCTCCCCCACCCACCCTCCATACCCTTCGAAGCTGATTTCCGACATTCTGGATCATTGCAGCCGACACCGGGTAGCTGGGTTGCACGGATGGCAGCAGCCTCCAGAGACGGGTCACCTGAGCAACGGCCAGACTCTGGCTCCAAATGAAGCCTACTGGTCTCTCCTCCTGCTCCTCCTCCTTCTGAGCTCCCGCCCCTCCTGAGCCTAGCTGTTATCACCTTGTCCTGACCTCTCCTCAGACTGCCCTCTGCCCCCCTTCTCTTGGACCCCCCCCTCCCCACCCAGAAGGCTCTTGTGCCTGCCCAATGAAGAAGAAAGAGAGAGGCTGCCAGCTGGACCACAGCCACAGCAAGGGGCCCTGTGCCCGACCACTGGGCACCTTGCCGGGCACTCACTTTGCCTCCAGCCACAGCCAAACTTAGCTACCCCAATTTCTGGCCACTGGCGTGCTTGCCACAGGTCTCTTGGCTCTAGGGGGGCCCCCAGGGGCCCATACCAACTGGGGAGTCCCCAGTTCTCCCACCCTAATCAGTCAGACTGAAAAAAGTGGGAACCAGGTTTCCATTCATCCACAAGAGGTCAGGCCAGAAGGTGGCAGGAGGCCAGAGAGCTGCCAGCAGCCTCCCAGAGAGATGACAGACCACCTGCTAGGACTCTTCACCCTTGGGGGTGCTGTCCGCTTGTCCCACCACTCCTGGCTGTTGGCATCCAGCAGCTGCTGGCTGGGGACAGGGCACACCTCCTCACCTCCTTAAAATAGGCGGCATGACTTTCTATAAGTGGCACCTGCCAAATCCCACCCCATTGGCGCCACAGAGTTCAGTCCTCCAGGCACCGATCCAGCCCCACTGTGGTCACCACTGACTGAGAGACCGCCGGGATTTCCCTTCTTCCTCTCACTTCTGCAAGACACTGAAGGAGAGGCCTGGACACGCATGCTAAACTTTACATGACAGAACAATAAAAAGAAGCACATGATGGGGCCTCCCCGGTGGCGCAATGGTTGAGTGCTGGGTTGCGAAGATGCCCGCAGCCTCTGCAGCACTGGTTTGATCCCCGGCTGCCGGGCAAGGGTCCCACATGGCGCGAAGACCTCTCCTGCCGCACCCGCTGCTGCCCTCAGCAGTGTGTTTCTTTAGTCTGCCTGTTCTGCTCCCCACTCTGGCTCTGGTGAATTCTCTCACCCTCCCACGTTTCTGACTGTACCCAGTGCTTGTATAAATAAATAAATAAATCTTTAAAAAAAAAATAAAAGCACATGGTGGTTATACAGGGAAAGGGGGGGGCAGAAATGGGCGAGGGGGTTAGAGTAATAATGAGAACCTCACAATAACTGAGCATCTACTGTGTGCCAGGCCTCCCGCTGGCCCATATCCCAGCCCCACCAGCAGGTCCCTCAGTGGCACCACGGTGCTGGAACAGAGGTCAGCCTGATTCTGAGGTCTCTGTCCCTTGCTCTGGCCCTCATTGCTCCTAGTTCATTCATATTTAATACTATCTCCCCCTTAACCTGAGACCCTGTATTATGGGTGAGCCTCTTTCACTAATGTTCTGTGTGACTTTGTTTGGGCAAATTCCCTCCTCATTCTGGACCTTTCTGCTCTAGTTGTCAAGGACTCCAATTTCTACTACTCTCATGGTTCAGTCTAGTCCCCCAAAAAGTTTAGTCTGTCAGTAATTCACTATCTACAAATGAGAAATTAAGGTCATACCTTACAATTAGAAAGATGATTCAAGATGGAACTGAAGGTTGGAGCAATCAGGAGGCTTCTTGGAAGAGGTGGTACTAGAACTGGCTGGAAACTGAATAGGTGTGGATAAGCTAAGAAGAAGGGTAAGGTGGAAGGTCTAACAGGAACAGAAAAAAAAATACATGAGGCTCTAAGGAGCCTCACCTTGTAGGAAAAAGTTGGGAACCTGATGGGGAAGACTTCGAATGCCCAAATGCCAGGAAACAGGGTTTACGCATCAAGGAGTTTCTGAGAATGAAGAACATGTTGGACATGACCAAAGATATGTGAGGTGAACAAGAGACCTTCCTAGACTGCTAAGGAAACCAGTCCAGAGAGGGCACAGCTTATCTCACTAGATCCCCAAGATAATGTGACAGACAGGCAGCCAGGACAATTCCAGGGCAGGGTCCTCACTAAGCAAATAAAAGAAGGTCCCCAACCCCACCCTCTCTCCAGAGGTCTCTAATGTATTAGGCTCACGGGACACAGAGCAGACCCCCATGTTACAGATGCATACACTGAGGCCTAGGCTGAAACCTGAGCCACCCAAAGTCACAGTCAGGAAGTCTCTGACCTCAAATCCAGGGCCCCACCCACAACTCATTGCTAAAGAGAGGCTCCTCTTAGACCTATGAGAGGACTTCCAGTGGGGCTGAATAAATAGCACTTTTAGGAACAAGCAGTGGGGGGTCAGATCTTGCTACAGAGGCCCCTTCAGGCCACAGAGAACTCTTCCCTCCCCTATAACTAAGACTTCTCCGCTTACCACAGTACTGACTCTTGCGTCAACTCTTCAGCTCTGAGTCCACTGAATATTTCCATGGATGTCTGTCTTCCCTTTCCACCTCACCTGGGAGCCTCCTGAGGGCTGAGACCACATCTTACTCATCTTGGTGGCCCCTCCTCACCGGCCCCATAACTAAGGCCCTAGAGGCACCTGCAAAGGTTGATGGAGAAGAGCTCCTATGTAGCAGCTAAGTCCGCAGTTCTCAGATTCAGCCTGCATCAGTATCATTGAGGGCTTGTTAAAATACAGCTGGCTGGGTCCCATCGCAGTAGAGCTGCAGTGGAGCGCAAGAGTTTGAATTTCTAACAAGACCCCAGTGATACTGGTGCAGCTGGTCCAGGGACCACACATTGAGAGCCAGTGAGCTCAGTCAGCCCTGCCATTTCCCAGCTGGGGAAGGAGGCTCAGAGATTTGAAAAGCAGCACTAGGCAGTAAATCACTATCATCATCATCATCATCACTGTCATTGTCATTATAGCCTTCTCACACGCCCAGCACTGTGCTTGCACTCCATGTTCTGCCATGATGCACCTTCTGGCCTCACCCTAAGAAGAAGATACTATGATTATTGTTCTAGAGAGGTGAAAGCAAAGGTAGAGTCATATGTCCAAAGTCACAGAGCTGATAAGAGTTAGCACCAGGATTTGAACCCTGATCTAAGTCCAGACCCCCATCTACACTGCCTACCTACAGGTTATGCTATAAGGAATTCTCCAGAGGTTCCCAAATCCAGTAGGTTCATTTCTGGTGTGGTATGAGCTTGCAGTGCCCTCCTTCCAAAAGTGCCTCAGTCCTGGGCCTCTGGGGAGCCCTGTGTCTCAAGAAAGGCCTCTTCTTAAGCCCCGTGAACCTAAAACACTTTGGGGAGAGAATATTACTTTTCTCACATTGCATCCTTCATCTGGAGCCACTGATAGGGTCTTCTTGGCCGGAGGACAAATGTTTGTATTAGTTCTTCGGGTCCATGTCCTAGCTCTACCTCCCCACTCAGTGACAAATCACAATGAAATAACCCCATTCATATTCCACAGTGACATTGTGTCAGCCAGGCGTGGGTCTGTGTCCCCCATCAGACTGGGGTTCTCACCAACAGGACCTCATCTGAAATATCTAAGTCCTCAGCACAGGGGCTGTCCAGATCAAGGAACGAATGAAGTAATGGATGGGCATAGAGGTAAATGGAGGAATGAATGAGTGAATAAATAATCAAGCTCAGAATTCCTTCTGCTGGGCCTTCTAGCTTTCCCATATTGGGCCACAGACTTTCTGGGAGCAAGAGGACCTCTGATATCCCCCACTCCAGCTTCTACTTTCAGCACTGTCTTAGCTGAATCTTTGCATATGCTCCATAATATATCTACTGCCCCAGCCTCCTCTAACATAACTCCAAGATTGAAGAGCTCTAGTCCATGTAAGATTTAATAATTTAAGAACTCAAATAAACAGAATGGCCTTGCTATCACCCCAAAACCATGGCTCTCTGTCTCCCAGAACAAGGCTGCTTCCCTGGCCTGTGATTACTTCCAGAAATATGAGAGCACATATTCTGTCCTCTGCCCAGCCCTGGCCTCTAGGTCCAGACTTATTTCTTCTAATCCTCTCAAGCCATGACCAGAGCTTCCCATTATTCCCTCACATACATGGGGTTTCCTGTTCCTGCTATTCCCTCTCCCTAATGGCCTTTATAACTGCATCCAAACCCTGTCCCCAATCAAAGCCAAGTTCAAGGGCACCACCTCCAGGAAGTCTTCCAGGCTCTTCCTAAATGGGAAGTATATTCTCCTTCTCTGTACCCCTACTTCCCATGCACTTTATTGTCCTCTCTTTCTCACACTGATTTTTCTCTAAAATTGGGCTAATTTATGCTATTTTTCCTTCTTGGCCTTATACTAGCAACAGGGATGGTATTAATTCATTAGAGATGCTTTTTTGTTTTTTGCCTCACTTCAAAATGTCCCATTACATTTTTGTTCCCCACTTTCCCCTTCCTTAGACCCTGGCAACTAGCGATAGGCTTTCTGTCTCTATGCTTACCTCCCATCAAATGCTTAATAAGGTCTTGAACAGGGCCTCCCTGGTGGCTCAAGGGGTTAAGATACAACCTATGAAGCCGTCAGCAGCCTCCAGTTGGCCAGGGAGCAACCCACATGGCGCAGTAGACATCTGACTTGCCGGCTGCTCCCCTCAGCAGTGCACTTTGGTCAATCTGCCTGTTCTGTTCCCCATTGTCTCTGGTGAATCCACTCACACCCCACACCTCTGGCCTGTACCCCTGCTCTTGTATGCATAAATAAATAAATCTTTAAAAAAAATAAGGTCTTGAGCATAGTAGATGCAAAAAAAAAAATTCAGAGAATGAATGAATAATTGAATTCAATAGAACAAGGGAATGTGTGAAGGAGTGAATAAAAGTAAATACACATGTAAATGAATGGTCAAATTAACAAATGAATGCAAGAATGTTTTCATCCTTCCTCTAAGTTAAAAACTCTTAGTTGCTTCTGGGGTACTTTGGGCAAGGCCTGACAGAACAAAGGAAGTTGCGGGAGAAGTGGGGAGGTGGACAGGAGGGAGGAACAAAGGAGAGGGTACTGATACTAGCAAGAGAGGAAGTGCAGGTGACCTCCAGTGACTTCAAGGCCTGCCCCCCTT